CGATTTGAAAATATATTTTTATACCCTGTACCCAAAGGGTGAAAGATTATACTAGTTTATATCTGTAGACAAACTTTATTAAAAAATAGTCAACAGCAGTTACTAGAAAATGGCTCAATGTTTTCACAATTTTCGATGAAACTTTGGTATGGGCAGTATTTGAAATTTTAGTTACGATAACTCATGCAAATAATTGGAATACAAATTTGAACTACTTCAGAAGTTGGTTACAAAAAGCACTCCGAAAGGACATTTTTTCTTTCTATTATTTTCAGAAAAGTACCATTTTATTCATTACATAAAAGGGGAAAAAATTAAAGTATTAGCTGCAGTCCATTCCAATAAAATTGTGAATAATTTAAGCATATAATTATTAGATTGATTTTAAATGGTTAAATGCAAGTTTTATTGAAATCACATTGTAACCATTTCAACTCAATAATTATTACAATGAAGCCAATTTGCTGAACTAGTTCAATTGGAACACACAGCTCTATTATTATTTTTCACATGCACCCATACTCGTAAACTTGTTTGCGTTCAAGTGTTGACCTTTTTTTGTTTTATTATTTTTACACATTACTTTTTATTGCTTTATATGTTTGTGTGTGTGTGTGTGACTGCTAATTGATAAGGCAGCTCGCCCTCTCTTCTATATATACATATGTATGTATGTAAGTATGTGATCATTGCCAAACCAGTTCATCTGACCACTCATACACATACCTCCCTGTACTCGGAGCCCTCGTTAAAAGTGCTTTGCTGTTCAGTATTTGCACGATTCGCTGCTGTTTTACATAATACTACACTCAACAAGAAACCAACAATAGCAATAAAAACAACTTTTGTTGCGGCCGGCATTTCATTCTATTTAATTCCATTTCCATTTTTTAAAACGTAGAAAACTGCACATGGGTCTCTCGTACACTTGTTCTTAGTATCTCTCTCTCTGTCTGTCTGTAAATCATTGATGTATGTAGACCTTACTTTATTGCACGTTTTTGCCACTGCTGTTTATTTTACAATATCTGTATATGCTAGTAATTATTCTTTACGATTATACATACTTGCAAAACCCATTGGTTCTCGTCTTTGGCGCCAGCGGCGACATCGTTCCATCCACTGACATTTTGCAATTTGTAATTTCGCCTTTGGGAATGTTTTAGTTGCCATTCAGCAATCATACGTTTCGCAACTTACTCTCGGAATTATTCAAAAGTATTATAGAAAAATATTTTTCGTTCTGAAGCAGGTGAATGGTTTATTCTTTTTTCAAATGTGCACTAATATATTCTATATAATAATGATCAAGCAAAGGTCTTATAAATTGAGTTGATATTTTATTTTTACTATCAATAATAACCTTCAACCACCAAGGTTTGAATGCTCACATAAATTTTTTACTGACAAATACGTCAGCATAGTTCAAAATGATAATTTTGTGACTATAATTAGAATAAAAGAAGCACATGAAATAATTTTGGCATAAATACAAATCATTTGCGTCAAGAATACAACGTTTTGTATTGTAGACAGATTGTCAATCGAAACAAATGCTTTTACAAGTAAAAGTGATTGTTCATATGTTAACTATAAAAAAGATCCGCAGAAATATCTTAAAGGTTTTTAAGAATGCTTGTAAATAATGGTATAGTATTTGGCGAACTAGAGTAGAGCACATTTCCCACTGATTTTTAACAGCTTCGATGGCCTGTTTAAAGTGAGAAATGTCGAGCTCCTCTAAAAAGCTATCAAGTGTCGATATCCTTCCACCTCCTCAAAACTTTTAACATTTAGCGATTTTTTAATAGTTCTTTATTTTATCACTCAAGGCAAAATGTGGTTTTCCTTTTGGAATCAATGAAAATGATCCTCCCATGTCCTTGCTTGCAGATGGGACAGGCCTTTCAGTCCATTGTTTTGAATGTTTCTTCGTCTCAGGTGTAAAGTGATGAGACCATGTTCAGGTTTGGTAGGACTTCGGAGAAAGAAATACATTTTGATTTTATCACAATAGCACAATTTACTTGCCTTATAAATGATGGGACCCTCTATTATAATAATTTTATATGGTTGGCCTTCGTGGGAGTCTGTTACTTGTAGTTACATCTCTGTAAATATGATTTGATTTTAAATTTGAGAAAATTAATCATCTTTCGAAAACTGATATCCTATTAACGATTTATGATAAGAGGTATTCACTAATAAGTATCCACAAAAATACATAAGATTCCAAAGAACTAAAAATGTTTTACAGCAGCGGTGGGTACAGAACAAAAAAAACTATCATCGAATGTTTGTTTCTTTAACAGAATAAGTAACACATCTTAAGTCAAACTTAATGATGTTCGAGCTTTAATAATTTTATTAGTAGCTGTTATTAATAATTGATCGAAGGGCGTGTTGTGATGATTTATACATATACTAGTTGATACTTATGCTTCGGTATTTCCAAGGAAAATGACTGTATGAGTCATTCATAGAACGAATGTCCTGGACTTATTAGTCATACTTTGCAGGAGACAATTTTCTACGCAAACTCAAGAACCTAAAAAAAACGAGGCTGAAAAGAGTAAACTTCCACTAAGTATGTACATGAAATTAAATTCCAAAAACAATTTGAAATGAACTTGAAAAGCAGCTTAGGGGAACATGCGATGCGAATTTCCCTTTGATTATGTATGTACGTGACGATTGGCAGACACGGCGCACTAGTCATGCGAATAGTTTTAATGTTTCTTCATTTTTTCCGAAAATATTTAACAATGCATTTAATTTTGAAAACAAAATAAAAAGGTCATGTCTTGGCCATGCTCTCTCTCTTTCTCTATCTCCCGCTCTCTCGGCTTTTCTCTTTGTAGTTGTTGTTTTTTTTTGTTCATTGTGGAAAAACACCACCAGCCGGGCGTCTTGTTTTCGGTATGTGGCCTACGTGCCCGAAATCACATGTTGTTTGTTTTGTTATTTTCAGTACAGAGCTGCTGTAACAGTTACACTGGTGTGCGAGCGAGATGGCAATGTTTGTTCGAACATAGTTGCTAAATACACATTTATTTAAAATGCAAATACCGTTGCCAAAAGTATGGCTATAAATAGAAGAAAACAAGTGCAGAAAATGCGTATGAAAACAAAATAATTAAAAACAGCTATTAAAAGACGATATAAAGCAAACAACACCACACGTACATAGATTGAATGAAAACAAGTATCTGACTGAGATACAGGGTGCCCCTGCTGCGCGGTTGCTCTTCCACGCGGCCCGGCAAATTGCGCGCCCGCTCTATCCACCTCTCTATCTTACTCAAGCATGGAAAGCAGGGACCGGCGCGTCGGCTGTTTTTTGTTTTTGTTTTGAATTGTAGGGGCATTCAAAAAAAACCAGTCGTTTTTGGTCGTCCACTTCGTTCTTCTCTTTGTTGTTGTTTTTAAAATATGTATCTGCTAGACTGCGTCTTTGTGCAGCAAACGGTCTCCGGTATGTACACTCATATGCAGTCTGGTCTCGATAGTTCCAACGGCTTAAATGATAATTTTATGAAGCTTACACACGAACAAAAATCGATTTAAAATATTGCGTCTAGAGCTTGAACCAAAACCTTTAGAAGGGCAGCAATTAGCTTAGCTTAGACTTTAGACAGATTATACGATGTAGATCAGAATTGAATGTTGATGTTTCTGAAACAGTACGTTACTGAATTTAAATCTGGTTCTTAAAAATATGCTGACCAGCTTTTTTGTGACATTATTCAAGTTTACGGGAATACAAGCCTAAAAAACCTACTTTAAAATTCTCTCTGCTGTTAATATAAAAATGTAGAAAAATGTAAATCAAACTATTCTTGATAAAAACAAAGACTCAGTAAGTTTAAATTGTTTACTTAAAAAATTTAAAATACGTGCTTCAATTGAATATTTGCTTTTCTGTTGACTGAATAATGCACCAAACGTAACGTATACGGAAAATATGGGAAATGTTTGTCAATTTTATATGTTTGTTATTTATTATAATGTATTCGAAAAAATTTGCCTTAAACCAATATTTTGTGTGCTTGACAATGCTGCTGGGAAGGAAGGCTTTCCTGTACACTTATGTGATAGGTGACTGTTTCTGTTTGCGTCTTGCTATCGTCGCCACCATCGTTGTTGTTGTCTTCGTCGTCGACGTCTTCGTCGTTTTTGCTCACGTAGCCACCGCATGCACAATACAGGCAGGCAGTCAGTCAGTTAGGCAGGCAGGCAACCATCCGAGCTGTTTTTCATGACAGCGAACCGCTCTCTACTCACAGAACTCGCCGAGCAGTTCAAGAGAACGGACGTGTTTCTTTCCCGCAACGCGTGGTGCAATTGAAAAAAATTGAATTGAAAAAAAAAAAAAAAAAAAACAACAAATTTACTGACAAAGCAACGCAAAGCAATTGTTTAAATAAATGAAATTTGCCGCAGTGAAATAAACGTATAGCAGCAGCATTGAACATTTAAATTATACAACCAGCAACTTTTTGTTGTATGTGTGTGTTGTGCGAGATAAGATTAAAAGCCGACAACAACAACAAGCTGTTGATTTCGTATAAAAAGCCTACAAATTGAAGAGGAGAAAAGATAAACTTGTATGTTAATAAAACTACTAAAATAGATCTGGTGTGTAAAGGTAATTTGTGCTTTGTGTATGTATAACAGATATATATATATATACATAGATCTAAAATATAGCGTCATGTGCGCGAAATGCGATGTTGTTGTAGTGACACCGCCCCTGCCCATGCTTGTCCTGAAACTAGGTTAGGGACACTCCCCAAAGGGGCCTCTTCACGAGACTTAGCATTTTTGTTTTTGGGGACGAAACGAGTGGAAAATTTTTCAAACAAAGCCGAATTGATTGTTTTGAGAGCAGCAAAGCAAACATTGTATGATTTATGACGTCTTTTCGCTTTAACTTGTGCAATTTGTGCGATTTTTGAACTGCTGCTAATTAGTTTTATTTATATAACTTTGTTTTGCAGATATCAAAACAAACAGTGGGCAGTCCAAAAGCAACCAACACATCGCCATCAGACAAACGTGTTTTGCAGCCAAAGCCACAGCAGCAGCAGCAGCAGCAGCAACCACTAGCGAGGCAACCTGCCAGCAATAACAATAACAGCGCACAGAATATTAACGCGACGAGCAGCAGCAGTACCAGCAACAACAATAATAATAAAAAGACACAACAACAGGCCACGCAGCCAAATTTAAAAGGCGCAGCAGCAGCAACAACAACAACAGCAGCCGCAACAGCAACTGTCGCCGCTGCAACAGCAACAAAAACAAGCGAAGTCGCTTCAACAACTGGTGAGCATTCCACTTCATACTGTTCTATAAGCTAATAGTCAAATTGGGTGTTCGATGAGATACTAAAGAAAAAGTTCCTTAACAGTTTTGGAAATTTTCAGAAAATTCATTAAACATTTACATATTTCCAATTAAGAATATCAATCAATCAAATAAATAAGTTTATAATTGTCTGTAAGCATAAACAATTTATATGTTTGTTGAGAAAAACCTGCTGCTAATAATTTGGCCTCTCACTTTAAATTACAATTTTTAAAAGTAAATAAAAACTTCAAAAAAGTGCCAAGCAAATTACTTTTTAAGAAGGAATTTTTAGTCTGCTATGCAATTACAGCGAAGTTTTACGGAAGAATTATTTCCATAGTAATACAAAAAAAAATTATTAATTAAATTTCATTATAAAGAAGTTCTACAGACGATAAATTTCCATAAATAAAGAAATTAGGACAATTTAGAATCTCTAGCAGCTTTTTTTAATGCAGAAAATGTGATGATAGTGCCAAATACTGAACAAATCAACTCAACCTTTAGTTTATACAGTGTTTATAGTTTATGTTGTTTATTTTCTACATTTAAAAAAATAAGCTAAAAGCGCTTAACAACTGTCCGAAATCAATTTGAAAATAGTTTGAAACGGTTACAATTTCAATTAGTGATTCATAAACAAATTTATAACAATTAGATATCACAAGCGAATATTTAAATATAAATAATTGACATAGGTCTCTGCGACTGACTATATTCGATAGCATTAATTGGCTTTGTTATTTTTAGACAACAAAGTAAGCTATTCACAACGGATTTTAAGCATCCCGTAGTATATTTTATTTAGCTACAAAAGATATATTATTTTCACAAAATAAAATTAAATAGAAGAACTACTTTAGCCATCGAATTTCATCATTTTGGGGGACACAGCGTAATTTTGGGTACACTGCGTTCTACCTACCCCATCCAACTCGTATTTTCTCTCGGGCTCTCTCTCGGATTCACTCGCTCTCTCTGATGCGTCGCGTGTTGCTCTCAGCGCAATTGCGCCTCAAAATTCGCCGTTGCATGATGGTGATGCTTGGTTTTTCATTATATTTTTAACGCATTTCTTTTTCTCTATTTTCTTCCCCATCTCTCCACCTGCGATGCATAGTTGATGCCAGTACTGCCGATGCGTTTGCCAGCTCAGTGGTAAAGGACAAAAAGAAGGTCAATCAGAAGGTGAGTGAAAAATACTAGCCAATTGTATGCCCCCATACCAACACATAATCCCTCGACTGAGTCATAATCTTATGGGTATTTTTGTTGACCTCATTGCAGGCCAGCGACTTTAGCAACATCGGCGATTGGCCCACACTTATTGGCGGCGTAACGGGCAGTGGCAAACCCACTAGCAACGAAGCCAAACGTGCAACGAAAAAACAAATAAATAAAACCAACAGCAATACACCCGCCAATAACACCAACAACAATAACGATACAACAACAGCACCAAGCAGCAGCAACAGCAAAGCTCAAGCTGCAGCCACAAGTGCAACTGTCGCTAGCAACCCCGCTGACGGAAGCGTTGTCACATCTTCCAACAACAACAACAGCCAGAATAGCTCATCAGTTGGTGCAACAGCCAGCACGAGTCATGATGCCAAAATCCGAGACGCCGAACAGTCAAGCGGTGACGGAGCTGCTTCAGGCACTCCAAGTGCCCTCCCAGCTGCCAGCGCAGGCCCGAACGGCATCAATAAAAAGATACCCAAGCACAAGTGGCGTCCATTGCACATCGATCTGGCCAAATCTAGTCGGCCCAAGTCACTTGGCGGACGCCCCAATCGTCGGTTCAGCGGCGATGTCAACGATTCGCGCCGATCAACACGCATCTACCATGAGCCGCGCGAGCGTGGCGCACCCGGAGCTTCAGCAGGTGCCGACTCAGCTGCTGGTCAGCCGTCCAGCGGTGGCACCGCTGCAGCCACATCCGGTGCCGGGACAGTCCCCGCAACGTCAGCCACTGGCTCCACGGAGTCCCGCGGCCATGGCTATGGGCGGCATTCGACGTACGCCGGCGCACGCTCGTCTGCTGCGCCTGAGCGTATTGATTCCTGGCGTAGCAGCGGCAGCACCGTCCCCGGGGGCGCCGCTGGACGGACAGAAGAACGTGACTACGAGCGTTCCGCCACCAGCGGCGGTGGCGGCGGTATCCGCGGGCCCCGCCGCTTCCGTACGCCGTACAGGGGCGGGCGGCAAGGGCGCGGTGGATTCACAAGACCGGGACCAGGTCGTTCGTCTCATCGCATACCACGCCATCTGTTAGCTTCGGGCGAGTTTTCTAATTATCTGCCGGCGGATGCTGCCGGTTCAGATTCCTCGCAATCCTATGTACTCATGGGCACCCATTATTTCGGTCCGGTACCGGCTGCGTATATTGAAATGGACGCGACCAGCGTCAAGGAAGCCATCAAGAAGCAAGTGTAAGTAGAAATTCTATGAAATTTTCTAATCACGCCTTCTCTAACAGGGCCGAAATAACGATTATTGGTGCATAATCAAATACAGGATCTTTTTTTTTTTTGTTAACTATATCTGATATGTAATGGACTACAAAAAGAACCACAAATAATTTTCTGTTGAATGTTGACACTATATATGATATGATAATAAAAATGAAATTGGGTTCAGTTTCATTTCAAAGGTCTTAGGTTTTATTGCATAAATACGAATATACTCTTAAAAGAAAATCTTGGTTATCGCTGGCAGAACTTATCGGAAGACATCGTTAAAAACGATAGATATTTAACAAAAAGAGCAAAGATTTATTTTTAATCAAAAGTTAAAAGTTTTTCTTAACAGGATTGTCCTGTTTTTTTTTGAAAGGAAAAAAAATCAGTTTTAAATAAAATATCTGATGGTAATGGATATTATTATAATTGGCTCCAAAAACTACTTTCTACAACTATTGCAGTGTTTTTTTAAGGTTATTTAGTTAAATTTTTTTTTTATTTAGAGACCTACATTAATCGGATTGGCTAAGGTCTTCAAAAGTGATACTTATAGAGCGCACTTATAATCGTTAAGGCCCCTTTCTATGCTTTTATTTCTGTTTGCTTTGTGTTTTGGAAACGTTACCTTTATGTAATTTTCTAGCTGTGTTTTGTGTATTTGTGTTCTCGTTATAAGCTGTGTGTTTGTGTTCTTTCTGTCTTCGCTTTTGCTTTGCTTGTCTGCGCAACAGCAACATCAAAATCAACAACAACAACAAACAAGGTTTACTGACATATTCTCTTCTTTCTCCAACCCTGCCAATACCTATGCAGTGAATATTATTTCAGTGCTGAAAATCTTACTGGCGATTTCTTTTTACGCCGCAAAATGGACCCAGAGGGTTACATACCGGTCACCCTCATTGCCTCGTTCCATCGCGTACTGGCACTGACAACAGATGTGGCGCTCATTGTGACCGCCATTAAGGATTCGGATAAGCTAGAGCTGTTCGAGGGCTATAAGGTGCGCACAAAGACGACACCAACCATTTGGCCCATCAGCGATGTGCTGGATCCCAAAGCATCGCTGCTGGCAGCTGGAGCTGCCGGCGATGATGTGGCAACCAGTGGAACCACCACCGTTGCTGAGGTGGTGAAGTCGTCCTCGTCGTCGACGAAGGCAGCGACTAAAGAGACTGATAAATCAAAGACGACGACGACGATAGAAAAAACGGCGGCCGATGTGGTTGCGGCCGTGCCAGATGTGGTGCCAGAGGTTGAAATGGAGGCTTCGGCGGCGACCATTTTGAGCGCTCCGATGGTCACAAAACCACTGAGCAGCATACCGCCGCCGCCGGTGCCGCGTAATTCGCAGAATTTGGTGCCCAAAATGCTGCAGGAACAGAAGCAACGGTCGCCTATGGCGGCATTGAATTCGGTAAATGCGATCAGTGCCTTGACACAGCAGGTGGAGGCGGGACAGAAGGGCGGATCTGCGGCTCAACTGGCCGATCATTTGAGCGGCTTGGCGGAGAGTGTTAAGCCCAAATCAAGTTCAACGCCCGAGAAGCAACGAACTGTGGTGGGCGGCGGAGGCGGTGGCGCAGTGACCACAGCTGGTTTGGGCAGAAAGGCAGTGACTGAGGGCTCGGGTGCGTTGCATGTGGCAGAGCCTGAGGGCATGTGGAAAGAGGTAAAGAGACGCTCGAAATCAAATGCTTTAAAAGAAACTACTAAATCTTCCAACAACACGTCAACAACTACAACAACAACCACACAAACGCTTTCACAAACGCTCAACAACAACAACAACAAAAATAATAACAATAACAACAAATCGAACAACACCGCCATCAATTACTCGTCTACATCCTCTGTTACATCGAACGCATCAAACGCATCCAACGCCACAACATCCGCAAAGACAAAATCAACAACAACAAACATCAACGCTATCAACAACAACAACAACACACTCACTTCTGCCTCAGCCACTGCCACCGCCACCGCCACAAATGTCCATGTCCACGCCCACGCCCACAATGCCACCACCAACAAAAACAATAAAAATAAACCATCTGCCAATGCTACTTCTTCAACTGCTTACTCGACCTCCTCCTCCTCCTCGTCCAAAACAGTTGCTGCGCCATCCGCTCAGCCCCATGCCGAAAAGGAAGAACTAGACTTTCAATTTGACGAAGAGCTCATGGACCCCATACCCGCCACCGGACGCATCAATAACTTCACCGAAAAATTCTCTGACGACGACGACGACGAATCCGACTACGAATTTGCCGATCGTGACATCAATAAGCTGCTAATTGTTGCCCAAGTAGGTCGCGCCCCCAAACATGAGGGCTACGACCGCACCGCCGATTATACATCCCGTACAAAAATCACCCAAGACTTAGAGAACATTATCAACGATGGTCTGGCCAACTATGAGGAGGATCTATGGACCACATCGAATGTGGTCACCAACGATTATCGCACCGTCAATATCATCTCGCAGGAAGACTTTGAGAAATTGGCGGCCAATAGTCGTTTGCGTCCCAATGCAGCTGCTACTTCCACGACCCAACCACCACCGCCACCACCCACATTTGTCGACGATGAGAACATGCTTGACAATACGCTCGATCACACTCTAGTTAATACCACACTCAACTCAACGCTCAACTCGACGCTCAAGTCGCGTCGCGCTCGCTTCTATGCGGCACCCAACACACACTCCATCGATCCACGGACACCGCGCAAACGCAAGCTGCGTCACACCTCGAATCCGCCTGTGGAAGCACATGTGGGCTGGCTCTTGGATACGGTGGAGCATCGTCCCCGCACCACCTCTATGGGCTCTTCTGCAGGCACTTCCCCGACTACCTCCTCGTATGGATCCTATGGCTCATCGGTGCCGCAATCGTTGCCCGTATTCCAGCATCCATCGCATGCGTTGCTCAAGGAGAACAATTTCACACAGCAGGCGTACCACAAGTACCATTCGCGCTGTCTGAAGGAGCGCCGTCGCCTGGGCTATGGTCAATCGCAGGAGATGAATACACTGTATCGCTTCTGGTCCTTCTTCCTGCGTGAGAATTTCAATAAAAGCATGTACAACGAGTTCCGCACGCTGGCGCTAGAAGATGCTGGCAATGGGTTCCGTTACGGTCTTGAGTGCCTCTTCCGTTTCTACAGTTATGGGCTGGAGAAAAAGTTCCGACCATATATCTATCAGGACTTCCAGGACGAAACAATTGCCGATTACGAAACTGGTAAGTCACAATATTAATTATTAGAGAGGTTAAGGGTAGAATCCAATTAACTAATTAGTTTAATTTCAAGTGTTCAAATTTTAAAAATATAGAGATAATTGGAATGGTTATAAATAGAAATTCCCATAAAACCCTTGGGGTTGTCTTTAAAGTCAATCGAGAGTTTTGTTAACAATAACTTATGAGTGTTACGATAAGGATAATGAATCATCTTTCTATTATTATCAGTTATGGATAGATTTTATCGAAAATATTTATAATTCCCTAAGCAAATTAAATTTGTATATCTTTTAAAAGTTATTATTATCAAGGTTCAATTCGACTTTTAAGTGATATTATAAACAAGTTGTAGGATCACATTTAAGGCATAACAACAAAAGGGTCTTATAACAACCTTCGCCTAACTAATCGATTCAATATTCGTTCCTCATCCATAGGTCAACTGTACGGCCTTGAAAAGTTCTGGGCTTTCCTAAAGTACTTTAAGAATGGCGAGAAACTCGATGTGCAGCCCAAACTATCAGAATATCTGAAGAGCTTTAAGACAATCGAAGACTTTCGTGTGGTGGAGCCCGAAATCAATGAGATTTTGCAGGGTGTGGGCAGCCTAATTCCTAATCGTCAGCTGAACCGACATCGCAGTGTCTCCGAGAGCGATGGTACCGCTGTTATTGCATCTGGTGGTCGACGCTTGAACACAACCATAACCAATCGTAGCGACTATGTGGGTCGGTTACTCCAGCAACAACAGCAGCAGCAGCAGCAACAACAACATCAGCAGCAGCATCAGCAACGACAACAACAACATAATCAACAGGGTGGCGGCGGCTATGGCCAACAGAATAGGCGGCGCACGGGCAGCTTTGGAAGCAGCACGGTGCGCATACGCAGCGGCTCCCTAGGCAACAAGCCACAGGTGGCGAATCGTAATTATCAGCAGGGCTCGCAGCATGAGCTGCGACGTGGCGGCAGCAACTCAGGCCTGGTGCCGCACAAGCGCCAACAACAGCAACAGCACCCGCAACAGCAGCAGCAACAGCAACAAAATAAATCAAAGGCGCAGGGCGCTAACACAACAGCGATCAGCAATAATAGTCAGACAAATGCCGTGCGCGCATCCACATCCGCGGCGGCAGCAACAGCGGCAGGAGTGGGAGTAGGAGCAGGAGCAGGAGTGGTTTCGTCATCGTCATCGACGCAGAAATAGCTTGCATAATGCATTATAATGCACATTATAATAATTATTGATTTGATTATCGTTAAGTTTATGACCATATTATGTTAGTTAGTGCGTTGTGTCTTGAAACATTGCAAACTGGCTTAGTTTATAATTGCATCTTTATTATTATTATTACTATTATGATTATTATTATTGTTTGCGCTCTTCTCTTCTCTCCTTTGTTTATTATTATTTCCCTTACTAGAGTAGTAGTCGAGTCAAACGTAAAGCGATGAGCATTAGTTAGCATTAAATTGATTAAGTAAATTTTTGAGAATTTGTTTATTGCAATTGCTGGACGTTGGTTAGTTACTTCGATGATATACAATTTTATTTTGTTTGTTTTCAATATAGATAACTACTGAAACGGTTGCTTATCAAATGCTCAATGTTTGTTGTTATTAGCACACACACACACACACACAAACACTCACACACACACACACACCTCAGTGTTGTCTGTCTGTACCAGTGCCAAGCGCAGTGAAGCCAATAAGAATTCTACATAACAACAACATCAACAACAGGAAGGAACATTTCTAGTTGAACTTTGTTAATTGAGAAAAGGGATGAACTCTTTTTTTTTATATATTACTAAGCATGTAACAAGAAAGGGAATTCGTATATAAATATATACATATATTACCTAACGAAAACTAAAAGTAAAACGAAATTACTATTACAAAAACCAAATGATCTTGAATATTGCAAAAATTAACAAACAAACAAAAAAAAAAAACAATTAAAACAATGTATGTAAAAAACAAAACAAAAAAAAAACAAACAAATTATATATGTGTAGCGCAGACTACAGTGAATTATAGCACCTAATAAAAAACATTTAAGAATAATTTTGTTCGAGCCTAAGCGCAAAACATATAATATTGTTAATAAACTTAAGTCAAGGCAAGTCAAACTGAACACATTATAATCGGCGATGGCACATATTACTATGCATATGTGTGTATATGTGTATGTGCAAGGATAATTAAGAGGCATGCGGGGCGCAACTGCAAACGAATTTTAGTTATTTAAGCATTTAAACGTGTAAATCGTGCATCTAAAACTCTTGCTATGACAATTAACTAAAGTCATCAACAACGAAAAGTGTTTTGGTTTTCGCTTTTATTTGTATTCTTGTTAAACTCTCTCTCTCTATCTCACACGCACACACACTCTCTTTGCCATTATCTTGGCCAGCTTCAATCAGTTAGTTGCTTTTTAACTTCTCAACTATTCAATGCACTGCCTGGTTTTTCCAATCAATCAATCAATCAGTCAATCACCTCACCAACCTCTAACTAAGCATTTAAGCAAATAGTCGCACACATTTTCAAAATCTTAGTTACTTAAAACAAAGCGAGTTCACCCCCTCCAGAAAAAAACAAACTTTAAAATCAAAACAAATCTGAAAATAATCGTTGTCCAAAAAAAAAGTTTAAAACTTATAAAAAATCAAATGCAAACTAAATTTAAAACATATGTGAGAAGTCAAGTGTAAGCTTAATACTGATAATTATATATCTATATATAAATATAAACATTAAAAATAGAAGCATATTTGAAAGATAAGTGAAAAGTAATCATCTAATATCGGTGAAGTTTGTTTGATGCGCAGTTTGGAAAACTGACGCCACACCCCATTTCCACACCCATACCCCATACAAAGAATATTCAAAATACACACACCCACTAACCACATTTGATTCGTACGTGGATGTAAGAAACAATTTGTCAATACTTGATATTTTTTAACATTCATTATTTGTACATACTATTAGTTCTGCTTTTAAAGTGTCGCCCTCACACACTCTCATTTGACATGAAAGAAAATGCTTTGCCATGAGCTTATTAAACATATAAACAAAACAAAAAACCACACACACACACATATATATATATATATATAAATAAATAAATAAATAAATATTTAATTGAATTAACTTTTGTAACGTCAGATTAATGAACTGAATTTGAAGAGTTGCAAAACGTTTTGCCAATCAATTATGTTTCGCATTGGAATGCGTTGTATGTTAAATTTGTTTTACTATTTCATTATATTTTTTATATATATATTATTTTTACATACGAGTACATATACACATATATGCCCACATAAATTCGATGATTATTGCTCTATATGTGCCCCTCCCCTCCCCCCACCCCTGCCCCAAGTTTTCAATATGTATGTATGTATTTAAATCGATATATTCTACCTTTATACGAAATACGAACATATTCTAATGTTTCTTGAAAAAACAATACACAAAACAAAAAGCAACTAAACTGTAATTTTGTAAGCTACATACTTAAATGAAAATGCGAAAGATAAGAAAGAAAACAAAAAAAAAAAAAAAAAAAATGAAAACACCTTAAAAAAATGATTTTTGTGAAAAACGTGATAGTTTAAACCATAAAGAGTAATATTTACTACTATATTATTATTATATTAATAATTTTAATTGTAATGATGCATACAAAAAAGAAACGACAAAAATTATTAACTAACGTAACAAAAAAAGGTAAAAAACTTTTTAAAAAATCACCAACACAAAAAAATGTTAAAAACAATAATTGCGTAGAAAAAAAACTAAAACAAAAAATGAATAAAAAAAAACTTGAAAAACTTAATATACGCAAGACTTTCTATTCCAAATCTTTTCGAACTGGAGATGGGGGGAATGAGAAGAGATATTTATCGTTTAGAATTCTACATTCTAAGATCTACATCTTACTTCAAAAGCTACTTGCGTTCCGATATGCGGTAAAAGCATTAATTGCGCTGGCTTGTCTGCTGCATGTGTGAACATCCAATAATCTGCAAGCAGACTTCGGCTGAATCGAGTCTGTACCGGACAATTGGAAAGTGTGAACAACATTCTTATCGAACCTGCTAGCAGATTGTCTAAAGAGGGTTACATGGGCGTAGCCAAGAATTTAATCGAATCTCTCCCTAGTCCTCACTCTTCTTAAGGAACTAAAAGATCTTTCAATTGTTGCTATCGAACAAGGCAGTGATATAGCAACATTCAGAGCGTTTTCCATTTCGAAGTCAAGTGTTAGGCAGATCGCTTACACAATTTTGAAATAATAATCACTTTATTCAGTTGAATCTTAAGAATGCGCTAATTACGTGACTTCTGCTTAGGCAGCTACAAGTACTTTGCGCGATTAGGAAGATAAGAAACAAAACGAACTTCGGTTGGATGTTTATATGTACCACTGACTTATTCAAACAATATTTTTCCTTAATTATTATTATAGCCTGTACCCTAAGGGTGAAAGGCTATACCAGTTTTGTGCGAATTTATGTAACAGGGAGAAGGAGGAGTGGCAACCCTACAAAGTATATTCTTGATCAGTCTGTCCGTCTGTATGAGCGCAAGGATCTCAGAAGGTACAAGAGCTAGAATGACCAAACTTGGTATCGAGGTTCCCCTGAGCCCTAGGCAGGTCAAGTTTGTTTTTTTATTTTGACACAATTTTTTTTTATTTTCCTTTTTTTTTGTGGGAGTACAGGCTATTTTACTGTCGGGCTTGCTGGACTATAGCGTTCTCTCCACATTGACGGTTGTTTCTCCTATAATTTGCGCATGTCTGCCATGATTGTTGTAGGTATTTTTTTTTATTTTTTATTCTTATTAATTCGCTTACAATATAATGATTAATTTTCAGTTTTATCATCATTTATACATTTTAATTTTTATTCATTCTCTCAAAATTTAATGATTATATTTGATTTTTACTTTTTAACTTAATTAATAATCATTATTTTTTGAGCAAAGAAATAAAACTCATTAAATAATAATCTTTAAGTTTTATTTTTGTAATCAAAAATAAACCTCAAATAATCCTTCCCGGCAAAAAAAAAAATTCTGGCAAAATTACAGCTTGAGTTTTATTTTTGATCAAAAAAATAAAATTCAGTTAATAATCACTTTTTTCTGAGTTTCGTGTTTTGCTCAAAAATAATGATTATTAGTTAAGTTGTAAAGTAAAACTCAAAATTAAACATTAAATTTTGGGAGAATGAGTAAAATAAAACAAAATAATCATTATTTGCGGTCTCTGGTCATAAGTCTGCCACAATTTTTTATCATCGTAGTTAGGATCCAGTATCCTTAGTACTGGGAGTATCTGCGTGTTCGGCCCCCTAGTCCCTCATCAATATATGACGCTTCGAACAACTTACGCAAATTCTCGATGCCATTTGTTAAATGTTATTAAAAGCTAAACAATGTCATCTTTCGAATGGCGCGAACCGCAAATTGTTAATTGATTTTGAATTGAATAATAATTTTAGGTCAATTATAAGTTGACATACATAAATAGCCCATTTAACGGGCTAAATATTTTTATTTGTATATTTATTTGTTCGTGGTGATGTCAAGAAAAACATAATTTAAGAAAAAATAAAAAGTTAAGGTCGTCCCGCTCCGACTTTTAATACCCTATATCCACATTTTTCACCACTACAGTTTATCTCTTAAAATAAATAAATAATAAACAGCTATATTACAACGGTTTATTGAACATGGAACATAAAATAAATTAGTTAAAATTTTTAAAAGAAATTGAACTTAATTAGTTTTACGAAGCAAAATCTTAAATAGACGTTAAAAATGGTGCTGCTGGCGCCATCTTCCCAATGTTTGGTAAGCTGCAGTCAGGTTTGTGTCTGCGCTTTATTAGACAGTTGCAAAATATTTGCGACTGATGGCAGCACTTAAATGTTTAAATCGGCATGGCTGCCAGCCAATGTAGTGGCGAAGGCACCACAGCAGATGAAATCTACACTAATATTGCAGATTATTTTAAATACAAAATGTATACTATTGTATCTCCAGATCTAATAGTCGCTGCGATCCAGGTGCTCATACGGACGGATAGACAGGGCTAGATCGACTCGTCTTGTCATGCCGATGAAAAATATATATACTTTGTGGGGTCTCGCGTGCCTCCTTCTGCATGTTACATTTAATATAATATAATGCGAATATACTTTTGTACCTTTAAAATGTTTGTTCTTTCTTATTTTTCAACATGGTGTCCACATAGATGGTCCCACATCCTCAACTCCTTATAAAAGAATTCACAGACTTGCTCCTCAAAATGGTTATTAACGATGGTAGAAGAATTCTCATTAATTAATTCGTTCTTCTGTTTTCATATATCTTGGAACTTCCAGCTATATATCTTATTTTGTTTTGGGGGTCGTTCAGAACCACTTTGTGAATTTTGGCGATGTTTTCTTGTTCTTGTGCGTTTAGGAAATCTCTCATTTTCTAAGCTCGTGCGTCCATATTTAAATTCAGGTGCCCAGAACTTAACACTTGCATACATATGATGCGAAAAAGTCCCCATAGACAGCATCCATCTCGTCTTGATTCGCGTAGGCGTTGCGCTTCAAAAACAAATAACTTATATCTGATATAATTCAGGCCCCAGGTAAAGTTTCAAAAAACCAAGTATTCAGTTTTTTTTCTCTAAAAGTATACAAACTAAGTTAAAAGGCGAGCGGTTAAAAAATAAAGATTTTTCATACAAACTTTGAAGGCTGTTTTCCCCCATTGGAACTTGAATTTTCCAAAACCGCTTCTTATCGCTCTCCTTCACGGTAAAAAGACACTTGAGTCAATATTTCAGCTTCCTAGCTTTACCGTTTGGGCTGTGCGTTTATCACCAATAAAGAAGTCATGTCAAGCTTTGTTCTACGCTTGTATATATATTTTAGATCCTAAAAAATAACTGTAATCGACTTGGCTAACCGATTGTTGAACGATAATACATTAAAGATAATACATTAACAGATGCCTAATCAAAATACCAAAGTTTGGTTAATGTAGAAGGTCGTCGTTATGGCCTGGGACTGCCCTATATTAGTGTTCAGATCAGTGTTCAGATGAGATAGCACTTATCTAGCAATGTTTTGAAATAATACTGCATATTACAAATAGATATTTGCCATTTGTGTGTGACATCAATATAAATAATTGAAGTGCAGTTGTCAGTGCAAAGCCGACTGAGGCATTCAAAATGCAAAAAACGCTTGGATTATGGAAAATTGCGTGAAAAGGGCAAACCGAACATAAATGTGACACATCAATTGACCTTTTCAGCAATTAACCCCTTAAAGTTATGCGCCATTTGTCAACGACGACAAACTGCAAAGCGAAAGCCAAAGCCAAAGCACCAAGCACACACACACACACTCGCACACACACACACCCGCACACTCGACATATGTTGGTTGTTGGCTTTGCAGCGGTAGCGAGCGCGTTGGGTGTCACAGATTAACGCCTTACTTGAATTATGGGCTGAAGAGCCCCCAGACGGGCAGAGAGGCTGTTGGGGGTGGATGGCGGGTGTCGGGAGACGGGAGGCGGTAGTGGAAAACTACTTGGCCGAGCTGAACAAAAACAAAAAGTCAAGCGTGGAAAAATCATGTATAAAACATAAGTGAGCCAAACACGCACACACACACACACAAAGGCACTCAAATGCCACCCGTAAAAGGGCATGGCACGTAAGGCACAGGCCATAACACCTATGCATGATCACGCATACATGCGCATGCATGTAGTTGAGGGGTGTGTCTGTGTCTGTGTGTGTGTGTGCTTGTCGAAGTCGGCGTCAGGCGTTTAAAAATTGAAAACCAATTTCGTAGCGATTTCAAACGACAATGCCAGTGCCACACCATGGGATATGAGTTCGATTTGTTTGGAGAAATATTATAATTCAACAAAAAGTCAAGTAATGAAATGTTTTATTTATTAAAATTCAACAAAATTCAAATAATGAAATGTTTTATTTATACTCTTTATGAAGAAATTGCATTTATATCGTTTTCTTTATTGTCTGGCCCAATAGTTTAAGAAACTAAGAACAAATTTAGATTTTTTTTCTTTTTCTAAACTAAACAATATAAT